ACGGCATAGCGCTACTGTTAAGTCGAAACGTGACATGAACGGGCTTCGCGGAAAGCGAACGTGGTAGAAGTTGATTGCGGGGCGTTGCGGTAAATGGTACCGTAAATGTCGGTTGAATATGGCACCCCCGTGTTAGCATATTGTTGTATCGGCTTTTTTACCTCAACCAATGGGGGTATTTACCAACTGCCGAAGAGGGTGGTTGTAGATGCATCTCGTCGAGGGCTTTTCTGAGAGGTATCGGATGGTGTTCATACCCTCCTAATTCTGGAGAAACACGTTAAAAAAAAAAAGCTAATACGGGGGTGCCATCTCTCCGACTCTTCTTACGGTACGCCGGGAACGCTTGGTTGGTTTTGGCGGCGGCGTCGAACGCGAGACACGTACCAGAGCAGACCAATTTCGTTATCGGCGGAGATCATTAGGAGAAAGACATTCGTAGAAGGAAGGCCCTGCGCAACCCGTTCACACGAAAGGCGTCGCCGTGGAGCCAGAGAGGGCATGGAGAGGGCTATGTATTGCATGGGAGGGACGGCATACGAGGAGCTCATTGAGAAGGACTGTTGTTGCAGAGGGTGCGTGGCAAGTGTATAGAAAATCCCCCAAGGTCGGAAAAATTACACCGCATTTATGCAAGCTGGGCTTACACTCGATGCAAGCCGCCGTGGGTGCTGAGGCCGTGCAATTGCTTGTTTTACAACAAAGGGAGCAGAAAATGGGGTACTGATGACGCTAATTTAATAAAGACTGCATGTCGATTACATTTTGGGTTTTTGATGAAAGACTGCATTTTTCATTTTTCGGACAAGATTTGAATATTTGTACATGTAGTGATTTTTTCTTTTTTCGGGATGGTGCAGATTGAAACCCAATTTACTATAATAGGGAATTTGATGTGATTTGATGTGGGTGAATATGTGTGGGCATCGGTTTTGATGTGGCGAGGAGGGCGTGATGTACCGTGGGCTTTGGCTTCTCCTGGTGGTGATGCGCGCCCGTTTGTAGAGTATTCTTGGTCGGAAAAACGGATGGAACCGGGATGCATCACGGCCACGCTTTTGCTAGTGGAAGCGGGGTTCCAAGCGTGCCGGAATTCATTGCCCACAAGAGTTTTTTGGGGGGGGCGATTTGTATCTAGCGGGTGTAGCATTCTCACGCACGCACGCGTAAGCATTGGTTTCGAACACTCGGTGTGAAAAAGGGAAGAACGCGCTGCGATCGCGAGAGATCCCAGCATGTATTTATCGGCGATGGCGTCATGTGAAGTTTAATGCATTCGTTTCCCAGGAGCAAAGATACGGGCTGAGACAAGCAAGCATTGAGAACAGATGGGACGAGAAAAATGGAAGAAAAAAATAACAGTTAAGTCACTTCCAAGGCAATACGAGCAGCGATGCTGCGGGCAGCGTCCCAATAGCACACAAGGGCGTGCTCGCTGGTTTAGTTGTTAGTTGAGGGATTCATCCACCGTGCGTGCAGGCTGTTCTCTGTGGCAATCTCGCGTGTACTAGATAGTACATGAGGTGGTGGGTGGTGGACATGTGGCAAAAAACGGCCCTCAGTTTCAATCACTATCGTCCGCCTCGCACCAGCGGGAGAGTGAAGAGAGAGCGTCAGCCTAGAGCACGGTGGGCTATGGCCAAGAAGACGGGGTCGGCAGCGATGCCGTGCCGCCCAAGGGCGGGAGCGGAGAGACAAAAAGCTTTACAAAAAAGAAAAAAAGAAAAATCTTATGTTTTTTTTTATTTTTCTGTTGCTGTGGCAGCGATGTCGTACCGCCCGAGGGCGGGAGCGGAGAGACAAAAAGCTTTACAAAAATCTTTACAAGAAACGCCTCTTTTTTTCTGTTGCTGTGGTGTTTTCCCATGGATTTCACCGTCACTGGTGTCGTCACGGAGGTGGGGCAGTCAGCGTTGCCGTATCCCTGAGAGGGAGGCGCGCGAAATAACCAACAACAGGAAACGAGAGAGAGCAAAAAAAAAAAAAAGGAAAAAAAAAAAGGAAAAAAAAATCTTTTGCCCCCGCCTCCCTCCCTCCCTCCCTCAATCCCCTTTAAAAGCATCACACACCCTATGATGTATGATGCCCTCTAGACGTACCATGTCCGTGAGAATGACCTCCGTCGCGCCAACGACGGCTGCGGCCACCCCCGGCAGCCCGACGCCGCAGCCTAGCTCCAGCACTCGCTTCCCTCGCACCTCCTGCAGAACATGAGAGGGTGTCGTTGTCGTTGTCGTTGTCGTTATTGCTGTTGATGTTGTTGTTGTTGTTGCTGTCTTCACATAAAAAAACGTTCCGACCTCTCTTATCTCACACTTAGATGCGTTCGTTGTGTGTGTGTTTTTTTTTAATGCTAGCATGGACCGCGCTAACCGGCTGACCAATGAAATATGTCAGTCTCAGCGCGGTTTGGAACACAAAATGCTTTTACGAAGGCCATGATCTGGGACCCCATGAGGGGGGTCACGGGGGAGGCAATGCTACTCTTCCGGAACAAAGACAGGGCTTGTGTGTGTGCAAGGAGAGCACGTGGGGACGCGGGGCGGGGCACATCAACTTTTAGTAACGGCACGACTATTTTTTGTTGTTGCCGCGAGGAACAAAATCCAGACCCACCACAGCAATCACTCTGCCCTCGAGCACCTCCACCCGGAAAATCGAAAGAACGGGTGGCAAGGTCGGCAGCAGGCCAGGCGCGCTACACAACTCTCGCGACCCGTATCGTCTGTAAAACAAAAAACACCGCGTTTCCTACGTATGAAACCATGACCGGCGACGCAGACAAACACGGAAGAAAAGTCGGCAAGGGGCAAGGCGATAGGCGAAGCCGCGGACCGCGAGTATCCTACTCGTCCTCAGCACGGGTGGCGTAGATGCCATGTGTTTACAAGTAGATAGCATGTGTTGGTCAAAGGTAAGGCTTGTTCGTTGTTGTTGTTGTTGTTGTTGTTGTTGTTGTTGTTGTTGTTGTCTTCACGATAAAAAAACGTTCCGACCTCTCCAGCGGGTACACTATCTAGCTAAAAATAACAATGTTCGCCCCGAGAATACGTCAAGCCTAACGCCATGCCTACATCCTCTTTCCGTTCTCTTCAATCCTGAAAACAACACCAGTTGTTATGGTTGGAAAACCCACGCTCTAGATGCCACCGTAAAAAAAATAAAAGAGAACTACCGTAGTATCACTCCCCCATGATGCTTGACAGCAAAGCTGGTTAGAAATCAAGCTCAGTGCGATACCTCCGGTCGTTGCTCGAGGTACTTGGCGAGGACGAGGGAGCAATCCCAGGCCCTTCCCTGCTGCCCCTGACCCCGCTCGAAGTGGATAGGTCCCGCCGCCGTCTCAATTACCCCCTGGCCGTTTCGCTGCTCTGTCAAGCGTGCCGCCCAACCCCCCCCCCCC